GGTGGGCGCGGGAGACGGTGATTTGCACGTGAATTAGGTTATAGTGATGGCAGACTTTCGCTGCATCTACCGCACTCCCTCCATCCGCATTTGGATCCGGTGTCATGGCGAAGTCGAGAAGAGCGGTGACAGGAGAGGACACAGGTGACTGGCACGACAGAACCCGCAAATAGGCGCACCACCACACTCCTTGGTCCACAACATACACTGACCACACTTATGCAATACGAGGAGAGGGGGCGGCTCGGATCCCAAGGAGTGCGAGTGCCATATACGCCACATTAAGAAGGAGCCTTTGCGGTCTGACCCTCGGTCCACTAGTCGGCCACTCCGCACAAAACACAACACTGGGGGTCGACTGTGAGGTCCAACGTATCCTGTCAGTTAGCAACCTTTCAAGCCATGGCTTTTAGCGCGCCGTCACAGCTTCAAGCGCGTCAGATTACTTATAGTGAGGAAAATGCGTTGAGTCGCCGTCCTCACTCTCCCTTCCCATTCCTAGGCCCCAGCCACTGTCCGAGCCAGTCAACTGACAAGTGCGTCAACTGTACGCAGTGTCTGACATATCTGGTGACCTTGTCTGCGCGCGCGACATGCAAGACCTGGCCCCTCAAACATAAGCCCCAGGATTTCACACAAAAGGGCGTAGAACGCTCGAACCTCATAAGCAGCAGAGGAGCGGCATGTAGATGGGAGCCGAGGAGCACACTTCCAACTTACGTGAGAGGTGCCGGTTATTTGGAGGTGCTGGAGATGTTTGTGCATGTATCGATGAGGATATGCGTGGTAATATGGTCATGTCCGCGATGACTTACCGCAGGTTCTCGTGAATGCGCATGCGATCGAATTGGCCCATGCGATGGCTGAATGTGCGAGGGCAGTGCGGGCAGTTGAGGCGATGGCGTCTGGCTTAGGTCGGTGCTCCAGGCACTGGTTCACCAGTCTGCATCTACCACACTCTCTCTTTCCTTACCCTCTTAGGTCCCGTCTTAAGACAGAGTCAAGAAGACGATAGGACGAGATCGGGCGCAGGTGACTGGCGCAGCCAGAGCCTGCATCCAGGCGCGTCACCACGCCCCGTGTACGGCACTAGACAGGGCTGCGCAGTCCAGTAACGCGTGGCGTACACTGATCTGCCCCCCCCCGTGTTGGCCCAACGCACTCCCGCACGGCTCGTTGTAGGGGGCAGAAGAGTATGCATTGTGATCCCTGAACTTGGCGGTCTTGGGGTGGCGCTGCATTGTACCGGGGTAGGCGTTAAGGCTGCACGAAATTATTGCGTGCCCTGGGGATTATCACCGCCTCTGATCACAGTTACTTTGCATGACAATCTGGCGCCCGATAGATCACTCGAAATGTTTGAGAAATGTTCACACGGTGACCGCTGTAGATCAGATGTACTAAGACAAAGTTGACTACTCTCCCTGTTTTACTTCTTCGCAGTCAAGTTCGATGGTGAGCACGGGTCGTCCGAGCGATATAAGCTGTTGCAAAAAGCGGGTGGGGGCAGCTTTAACCAGTCAGTCACACTTATAGTAAAAATACTGCCCTTTCGAAAATTCTCAATTTCCCAAGATTAGGTCCATTAGAAGGAGTCCTGGGGCGACGCCGTGGTCCCGTCATGGTTTTATCCATTGACTAGAATAGAGCTGCATTTCAAGTTCTGGAGTTGGTTACTTGGGAAACGAGAGTCACGGGGGAAGACAAGGAGGTCGCCATGTCACAGATTCCTCACTGTCTCGAGCGTAGAGTGCGTTTTCATCGACTAGACGACGTCAGACCCTGATCTATTGTATTGTAATCGTGCGTGTGGGTTCCGAGTGTACGAATGAAATCGTTGCAGGATCAGAGGGATCATTTCAAACCGACGGTAGACTGTCACCGAGAATCGGTTGACTCTGGACAATCATGCAGAAATATGGCTGTCCTGAGAGATTTACCTAAACAGCGCAGCTTATCAGAAACAAAGTGAACGCAGGTATTTGTGACATCTTCTCCTGGCTAATGTACTTCCATCAACTTCAGAAACAAATATCCGTACTGGGCGTTTTTATGGCATAATGGTGGGCTGATACACAAACATAAAGTTGTGCTATGCCCTAACTTGCATCAGAAACACCTCAAAGGATAGGGAACGAATGGCTGGTTACCAGAAATTGACACCAGCCACCAGCCTTTAGCAGCTCCGAGTCACCTTTCCACGTAACAGAATTATTCAGTACCCTTCGCAGACGCGGCCTTGTCGGGCACCTGAGGATCCATCGCACACAGACTGGTGAGCCAATGCCTGGAGCACCAACAAGCGTTTTCAGCGACTAGACGACCTCAGACCCTGATCTATTGTGTTGTAATCGTGCGTGTGGGTTCCGAGTGTACGAATGAAATCATTGCAGGATTAGAGGGACCATTTCAAACCGACAGTAGACTGTCACTGAGAATCGGTTGTCTGTGTCACGCTCCTTGCAAATAGTTGCGTATTAAAATAATAGATTCCCTTTCGGTTTTTATATGACCGGGGTGAATTCTGGTTGCTCAATTTCAGGGGGCTTATTAGATCATAAAGCAGAGGTGGGAATGTTAGTAGCTAAATGCATTTTTCAACAACGGTTGGATGTCGGACCCCCAACTAACTTAAGCTAGCCTGTGGAGCGTGTCATACATTGAATGGTGGTAGAGAGGTCTGACGGGTAAGACAACACACAGGAGGAGCGCACGAAGACGCAGAAAACAGATGAATTTCTGCCGTAGGTCTTATCGCACTCTGTCATTTGGCAAAGAATGCGAACGCGATAATTAAAAAATAAACAAAAAACAATGTTCAAAAGTAACAGACTTTGAGTAAAGTGCCGCTGGTAAGTTTGCATTTGGTCAGGAAGGGAAGGAAATTTCAGACAGTGGAAACGCTGATGTTTACATTCACACTGAATTTAAGGGTATGTGTTTGGAGTTGCCATCTACTTGGAGGTCCTACACTCTATAGTTACCCATGTTTCGTCTAGTGATATGCTAGATAAAAACTAGCGTATAATCAGTGACACAGTGTAGAAATGAAGCACTTTTTGGAGTTACTGGACTACAAACTTTGTATTCGGCGAGCAAATCCGTGACCGAACCTTACAAGGTCGCGTAGGCGTTGTTGTTTTACTGAACCTCTAAACAAAGCGCTTGTCAGTTGTATGCTTTGTCGCCATTCACACCGGGGCGTAGGATCAATTTTTAGTGTAATATTGACAGCAAATTCTCGCAAAGTTTGCCTCATAAGGAAATTGGATGAGGATGATATAATCGTGCTTTTAAACCTGTTTTAAATTAATGATAGATAGACCCTCAACGCATGAGCCTTTTGGAAAACAATGAACAGCATTTGGCGACATTAAGGTCGCTTTGCCTTCCTGCAATGTAGGCGGTGCCAAAACAGCACCACTATGCCACACATGTCATGTGTTCGTAACCTTGGAAATCCACAGCTGAGGGTCCACTGTGAAAAACAGGAGAGGATGACTTAACCATAAACCAGAAGCAGCATAAGGTTTTAACAGACTTTCAGTAGCTGACAGGCTGTAGAAGAGAGGAGACGTGGACGGAGGGTCCAGAGCTGCCATTTGTTCGCAGCGGGTCTTAGTGATTGCACTTCCCGATCCGCAGGCGGTCAATACACTTTTTCGAGTCACTTCAGGCTACTGAATATCATTTCTCACACTTGACGTCTGTCCGTTCTTCAAAAATGTGCTGGTTACGGCAACGATCAGCTAAATATGAGCCAGTGGGAAGCATCGAGCATAAGAGAGAGGTTTCATTGTTGACTGTTTCAACGGGAATGAAGGCACTATAAAAATAACATGCAAACTAGTTTTGAACTCCCCTCTGGATCAACTCTTCCCCAGCTTTTATGAGGAAGCGTAAGGCAGATAAACACATGTACCTATCCGTTAGAATTTCGTGGCCGATTGAACATATTTATATTGACCCAACTGTGAAAAACTCGTCGACCTCGGTGGAATTCGAGCCCAAGACAGCGAGGGGAAGGCCTAAGTACAATCAACGCTCTAGCCATCTGAGCTACGTGGCCCAACCGGGAGACGTGAGTTTAACCAAATTTGGGTCGTTACCCGCCCAACCTACTGTATCGTCTAGAATCCACCAAATCTGATTGATTACTTAAGAAATCCTTCTTGAACAGGTAGCTTTCTGTATCAGTACTGGTGTATTCCTTAAGTTGCAGTAGGCTGAGTGGGTAGCTTGACCCAAATTTGATTAAACTTTCGGTTTTTGATGGGGCCTCGTAGCTCAAGTGGCTAGAACGTCGGCTGTGCTAAAGCCTTCCCCTTGCTGTCGTGAGTTCAAATTCCACCGACACTGACGAGTTTTTCGTAGTTGAATTAAAATAGATTATTCAAAAATATACTAAAGCACCTATCGATTTAACATATCTTGACAGGTAGACTGTTGCTATGGGCAGTGCCCACCGCTTTCCCTACAGCACGATGAGCGCAGAGACGGTGACTTCTGCGGGAATTGTTTGATAGCGGTAGTAGACTTGCGCCCCATCTACCGCACTTCCTCCTCCTCCTCTCCATCCTCCTAAGCCCGATGCCAGGCCAAAATCAAGAAGATCGGAGGCAAGATCGGGTGTATTGACCGACAAAAGTAAACAGCCCGTCTACGCGCATCGCATGCGTCTCGTCCGCGAACGATGAACCTGGATGCCCGTATGTATGTAAACAAGCAAGATAGCTATCTTGTTTCAGGGAAGGCAAACGCAGATAAATGCTCCACAATTGTGATTCATTAGCAGTACATCTTACCTTTTGTTCGTCACACTATGATTAAAAGACTCATTGGTGAGGCTGAGAGCAGACCTCAGTGTAGGATCGCTTTGATTTCCATCTCAACCCCAGATTAAAGATGCACATAGCTGTCATGATATTTCCAAAAGAAACAGGGGAAATCAGATGGGTCGCTTTGTCGTCAATTTTGCCGCTGCGTGAGAGTGTACTGCCTTAAAGGGCTAAACTGTCTACGGTTTTGATCTGAGTGTCGCTACCAGTGATGTGGGCGTCGTTGCATTCAGTGTTTGGCGACGGTTGGTACACAACTACCGTTTTCTCTGTGTTGGCAACTAGTTCGAGGTTAGCCCAGTCGGAGGCGAAGTGATTCATGCTCTGCTGCCCATCCAGTTCTGTCGCGATGTTGAGTTCGCAGTCGTCGGCGAGGAGCAGGTCGTGGGCAATAGTTATGGAGAGATGCATTAGGGTCTGCATGCGTCGAGCATTGGGAAGGTGGTAGTCAGTTCTGTAGACGATGCTGATCCAAGGTGTCCATCAGCATGGCAGAGGACATGAGACTGAAGAGGGTGGGGGCGAGTACGCAGCCCCGCTTCACTCCACTGGTCACAGTCCCTGCTCCCGAAAGTGTCCAATCGTCCTGGACGTGCGTCATCATCGCTTAGGGGAGCTCAAACAGCGTGTGCGTGAATGGCTCGGAACGAAATCTTGGGACTACTGCCCCGTCTCATCAGCGACCGTGAGCTAATGTCTGCCTCTTCGGGTAGCCAAGTTCGCCACCGTCGCCAGCGCCTACGCTTTTCTAATGACCATCTCCGATGAGGTGAGCAAAACGTTATAAGAAGACCCGAACGCACTTCTGGCGACTGTGCCGAAGTCGGACAGCTAATTGGCCTTGCTGACTTTACCGACCGTGTCGGAACCGAGCACGTTGCCTGGGAGAGAGCACTGGGTTCCCATGAATTCGGCGGCTTTGACAACTACTGCTTCCTCCATATAAGAACCTCGCAGAGCACCGCCTCCTCCTGAACAGTGCTTTACTCCGCCTTCCAACGTGGGAGAAGGCAACCTGGATGCAATCCCATTCGCTGCGTTGACAGCTACCAGACTACATTCTTGTCCGGAGCCGAGACCGACAGGACGGGCTGGTGACTAAGCCGCCCTACGACGTCGACGGCTATACGGATCACCGCCTCATCACCAAGATGTAGCTTCAGCTGAAACCTCGCAGGAGACCACACGATAAATGAACACCAAGTAAGTTAAATACTGGTCAGCTGAGTTTGCCTGCTCACTGCTTCGACTTCAGTATTCGGTTGCCCCGGCGACTGGAAGGCCTACAAGCTCCTGGCGACAATGCCATCGTGGAAACACAATGGTGCCAACTGTGGATCACAATCCACTCGACCGCTCTGGACGTAATCGATCGCGCACGCTGTCAGTGCCAGGACTGGTTCGACGACAATGACGCAGACATGAGCAACCCGCTCGCCGAAGAGGACAGACTGCACAAAGCCTACATCGACCGCCGGACGGACGCAAACGAAGTGGCCTCTTTCAGATGTCGCTGTCTTGTGCAGCAATAGCTGTGGGAGATGCAGGAAGCCTGGATGGATCACCTGGTCGAGGAAGTCCAAGGATACGCGGACTTAAATGGAACGAACAACTCCTTCACACTAACCAAGACGACCTACGGCCCCACAGTCAGAGAAACAGCGCAGATTCGCAGCTCCGACGGAACAGCACTCCCTGGGGAAAAATCGGAAATTCTGAAGTGCAGGATCGAGCGCTTCAGAACCGCGCTCAATCACCCATCCACCATTTCCGACGCCGCCACCGATCGGCTCTCCCAGGTGGAAACAAACAACGGTCTGGACCTCCCCCAATCCCTGCCAGAAACTATCAGAGTCGTACACCAACCATCGACTGGGAATGCGCCGGGATCGGACGAATTTTACAAGCATGGCGGTCCTCGGCTGGTGGACAAACTTGCATCGCTGTTCCGGGGGCTCTTGTGCTAACAACAAGTTTCCCAAGATTTAAAGGGTGCGACAACCGTCCACCTCTACAAGCGAAAAGGAAACTGACAACTTTGTGAATACTCACAGAACTAGTTCGTTACTCAACTTTGTCGGGAAGATATTCCCCTAAAAGCACATCTGGAACACGGACTTCCCTTGGAAAGTCAGTATGATTCGGAGGGCAACGTGGAACCACCGTCAGGATCTTCGCCGCCTCCAAATACCGGAGGCGCCAGGAGATGCAGATTTACCTCTACACTACCTTCGACACGGTGAATCGTGATGGACTCTGAGCAATCATGCAGAAATTCGCATGTCCTGAGCGATTCGCATAGACAGCGCGGCTTATCAGAAACAAAGTGAGCGCAGGTATTTGCGACATCTTCTCCTGGATAACGTGTACTTCCATCAACTTCGTTAACAGATATCCGTACTGGGTGTTTTATGGTAAAATAATGAGCTGATACACAAACATAAAGTTTTTTATGCCCTAACTTGCATCAGGAACACCTCAGAGGATAGGGAACGAATGGCGCGGTTACCAAAAACTGACACCAGCCACCAGCCTTTAGCGGCTACGAGTCACGTTTCCACTTAATTGAATTATTCAGTACCCGTTGCAGACACGGCCTGGTCGGTCACCTGAGGATCCATCGCACACAGACTGGTGAGCCAATGCCTGGAGCACCAACATACACCAGACGCATCCGCCTCAACTGTCGTCACTGTACCCGCGCATTTACACACCGCATGGGCCCATTAGGCCGCATGTGCATTCGCGAAAACCTGCATTAGGCAAGCGCCGGCTACACTACAGCATCAAGTCTTCTCCCACCTGTAACACACAACATAACCAATCACAAGCATCCAACTGCCACCTCTCACTCAAGTGGAAAGTGTGCGTCTCGGCTCCGTCTCCATACGGCCCCTGCTGCATGTGTGATCCGAGTCCGAGACTATCACGGTACGGCAAGCACTGTGGCATGAAAGGCTTCAACTCAGTCTACGCAGTCTGGAGTGGCGGACTGGTGGACCGAGAGCCAGGCTGAAACGGCTCCTTCTTAACGTAATCTATGGCACTCTTACCCCCTGGGATCCGAGCCAGATGTGACGGCACGCCTGGATGGAGCTTCGTCCGCGCCGGCCTCTTCTGTTGTGGTTGGTTAAAATCTTTGTCATTTACTGTGTGGACCAGGGGACGTGGAGTAGAGCGTCAAGGTGCGGGGTCGACCGTGCCATCCACCCGAGCCCTCACTTGTCTCCGGTCTCCTTGACTCTGCCTTGACATCGGGCCCAGATGGGGGAGGGGGAGCGAGTGCGGTTGATGCTGAGCAAGTCCGCATTCACTTTAAGCTAAATCACGCACAAGTCACCTTGTCTGCTTCCCCTTGCTGTGGAGCACACGGTCGACATTGTCGTATGCGGTGGTCGAACTGTTCCTTTCTCGCATACATGTTACCACTTACTTGAGCAGTCAATGAGAATAATTATGGAATTATCTATTAGGACATCACTAAGTAGCTGACTCAGGGGGTTTGCGTCCCTCTACTCTCGTACGGTATCGCGTGTGTCCTGAAAATTTACAAGTGATTTGTCTTCTACAGCGAACATTTAATTGAGCGAGTCGAGAGCAAACCATCACGGGAGTCGTTTAACCTGGACTACTGAATTTCCAATAAATTAGCCAGCTGAAATACTTGCTTTACCTAAAAACACTTAACAAGACACTAGCGGCCAGATATCGACAAGCAAGCTCCACAAAACCTATATTGCTGTCCTTTCGCCTCTAATGCTGCCTTTTAACATGACTGCAATGACCAACGTTGGGAAATTGTTCACTCCAAAAATTATAAACTTCAAGGCGAGGATGATGAGAACGGTCGTTTTGTTTTACAATTTTCTTATGTCTTAGCCTCTGTGTCGATAAGATCCCGGTCCGAATTCACTCTCTGCGGTTACTGAGTATCAGGCGGAACTTTGCGATACTGAACACGACGGCGATAGGAGACATTTAACATCGCAGTTGGGTTAATGAGTTAAGAGGAGTAGAAACAAGACAGAAGTGGTTTTTCCCAGTCTTCCTGTGCATTTTTATGACGATAACCGATTTCCCGTCGTTATTGCGTTGCTTGTACAAACGCCAAATCAGCACGCCATCACTCATATTCCATCCTACAATTAAGACAGCCTTATGAACATTACTCCTATATTATATATGTATATTTCTTGAATTTCTACGCTTAAAGTCGGGTATTTTGGATTTGTACATTTAATGCCGTAAATTGTTCTTAGAATTCCGCCTACTGGTGACTTGAGGAATGTCGTCGCATAAGTTTAGTTGTCGTTTGGTTGATGTAAATGCTTTTGGCGTTTCAGCCAGCTTTTAGATAACCACTAGTATGCCATCTCTACTCACTTTCCTCCTATCATTCTGAGGGCATTGTCTGGGGATTGTGCTACGTGCATTTTTGAGAGAGTTTATGCTTGTGTTTGCTCTTCTAAGCAGTTATCGTAAAACAGAAATAGGTACTTCATCAACCTTCAGCGTAAAGTAAAGTACACGCAGAGTTGCCTGAAGGAGTTCATTCTGCAGTCGTCGTGCTCTACCTTGTATAGGAGCAGATATGTATCCTACTCTTCGCTGTTAGCTCAAAGACCTCTTAAAACCCGGCTCGGTACCTAGGACTATAAGTCAGCTTCTAAGGAGTACGAACAGCCGAAGCAGTGCACTGCAACTAAAAATGGCATACACAGTTGACAACTTTAAATAATTTCGGTTTGAGAGGACACAATCCAAGGATGTGGTTATGTAGCCGCACCTGTTAGACACAATACTGTTGACCACTTTGAGTTGGTGCATTGTGTTGCTGTGCATTGCGGTGTGTGTTCTGTTGGCGACCTTGTTTTTCGTTGTGGTGTCTACCTTTTTTGGTCCAATGCCGGCGGTCCTTCTCGACTCTCGGCTGTCGTCTCCTTCTAACTTTCTTGTTAGATGTTTCAGGGTTAGGGTTTGGGCTAAATGAGTAGGGTTAGGGTTGGAGTTAAGGTTAGGGTTAGGGATTAGGGTTTAGGGCTTAGGTTTAGGTGTTAGAGTTAGGGGGTTCAGGTTAGGGGCTATGGCAACTTTTTCTCAGCAAATAGACTTTTTGTGCATACAATTAATTGACCTCGTCGCCTGTGCGCTCTCCGACCCCGCCTGTAAAACCCCCTTTTACCACCGGTCCCCTATTAAAGGTGGCTGGGTTTTGTTTATTTCAGGTGGGGTTACATAACGACATCTGACCATATTTTCTATAAAATGTAGTTCAGTTTATAAGATCATCGAACGTCGATGTAAAGCAGTAATATTACCGCAACAGCCATTTTTTACAGAGGCAGTTTTCAAAGGCGGTCGGGAAGCAGTGCATTTAGAAGCCGACCTCCTGATGTGACTGAAAAATCTTGGGATTTTGCCAC